CAGGTAGGCTGAGCAGCAGCCAGTGCCTATGCGCACTCCCACACACAAACCTGCCAGGACACCTTGGGCCTCCTCTGCTTTCTTTAGCCTTTCCTGCCTGGAAAGAGCAAGTGAAACGTGAAGGCAAAACCCGACTCGGAAGCCCTGTTGATGCCAGGTGTTTCTGTGCCCTGTGCAGGAGCGTGGCCCCTGCTCGCAGCTCGTCATCAGTGCAGCAGCAGCAGGAGTGCAGGGCTGCCCGTGTCGAGTGCGTGCAGCCCCCCAGCCCCCTCGCTGACACCCGCAGGGATCACTGCATGGCCTGGGCACCCTCAGCTCCATGAAGATACCAGCAAAAGCCTTGTGCACACATCCCAGGAAAGCCAGACCTTCTGTCACCTGCGGCTCGCGTTCCCTCTCTCGAGCCTTTTGGCAGGCACAAGCTCTCTGTCTGTGCTCTGTCTGGTGATACAACCATTAAGTCCAAACTCTAGGCTGTACTGCTTTTGCCACAAATACAATAGATTCATCAACAGGCTGAAAAGTTGCCCTCTTTTTCACGTAAAAGAGAGCTGCATTTTCACCTGGCTGTTAACTGCTCTTTAAAAATACATCCTATGAAGTAATACTTAAGGTCAATGAGTGAAAACAGGCAAGAGTCCCTGGTGGTGCAAAGCAACTGAGCTCACTTTTGCCATTCAGAGGTCTTTGGCACACTACTGATTCCGAGGGGCAAGGGGTGATCTAGTCCATTAGGGCCCTGTATACTCTATTGTATATATCTATATCTATATTGTATATATTGTATATATTGTATATATATTGTATATATTGTATATATATTGTATGTATATTCTATACTGTATTCCACAGTTCCCAATAACACACAGTTTACCTAATGCCTCAAATTCTCCTCAGAGTTCAAAGAAATCCTCTATCTGGCTAGCACCAAGCACACACCCTTCTTTCTTTGTACCTTCATCTATCAGAATATGGGCTGTAGCAAATCTGGACTCCATATTTTCCAGACCAAAGTTTGAGTATTGTTACTTATGATGGGACAAACTGAAAAATCCATACAGATCACTAAACTCATGAGGCAATAACAAATTCTCACTCAGTGCTGAGTAACTCACCAAAAAAGTTTTCATAGCTATACCTCTCTTTCCAAAATATTTTTTTAATAACAGATTTATGTGAAAAAAAGGAAAAAAATCAGTCATACAAGTGGCAAAGTTGGTTTCTATTTCCTCTTGCCCGCCCACCTTAATTCCTCATATAAATACAGGCTTGCAGTAACTTCCCTAGTCAGGTACGTCATTCAGAACAGATACTTGCCTGAACTAATACTGGGGTAGATCAAGTAAAGATTTTTAAGGATTAATAGCTCTTGTTTATTGCTTAGTTCTCTGATCATGTGAAAATGACTTTTATGATTAAAGCCTTTCTTCCCCCATATATACATCCCTGCATATATATATTTGATGTTCTTTTCCTTATTGTGTTTTCTTCCAGATTTTACCATAGCAATCTGGGCACCCATCCAAAATTTGTAAATGAAAACCTCCTCATGCAGCACAGCATCAGCACCACATACCAGCAGCTAAAATGGTCCCTCTCCCAACCTCTTTTTCTCTCTCTCTCTCTGTCCTCAATCCAAACCTGGGAACATCCCGTCACCAGGCTGCTCCTCACAGGCTCCCAGGGATACAGTTGGGCAGGAGGTCCCAGCTGCTCGCACCAAGGAGCACCTAGGCTGGCCCCAGGAAGGGAAGGGGTTCCCTTGGAAAAGCAACCGGGAGGATTGTCGGGGCCGCCGGCTTCGCCCCGCGCAAACCGGCTGCCCGTGGAAACAGCGGGCCTTGCTGCGCGGGGGTCAAATGCAGAATTATGTGGCAGCTTGATAAGCTACAGTACACTAATTTATTGGCTATTTCAAAAAATGTAGAGGAAATTTTATTAGGGATTACTTTGCTTTCCTGAAAACTTTTTATAATTAAAAACATCTGGAAGACATTTCAATATATCATAAACAAGAGGAAATCCAAAGCACGTGACTTCTAAGAAAATGATGCAAATACCTTTCTGTGCCAAAATTTACAGTAATCTGTTTTTCTTATTTTGTTAAAGGATGGAGGGAGAATTGATGGAGGAAGAGGCAACAATGAAGAAACTATTAGTATGGAGAAATACAAAATATGCTATATCAGGAACCATACCTTAATGGAAAATAATTATGTTTATTTAAAACTGCAAAGCTATTAAAATAGATCTTTCTTCCCTCCCCCTGCCTGAATTAATCAGTAACCTGAGAAAATATCCTCCTGGAGTGGATAAATGATTACATCAATACAGCCAATACTAGAAGGCTATCAGTAAGAAAGAAGCAAAGAGATAAGAAAATATTGTGGATGATTCTAGGTGAAGGAAACTACTGTTTTAATCTACTGAGTATTCTACTTCTTAATGGAGATCACTAAAAAATTCAGACTATGATGACAGTTTTTTAAAAAAATAAAAACCAAACCAAAACACCAACACAGTTCAACACTGTTGACATTACTAAATGTCTTAGTCTGAGTAATCCATTAACTTATAAAATAGAGTAAGATTTATGGGCTCTTAAAACAAACATAGTCAAAGAGCTTTACACAAAATCCCCCGACAGTTAAAAAAAATAGCCCAACAATTAATAACTAAGTTTCACAGTAATTAAATAAAACATGGGGAAAACTGTGAAAATTTTTATTATGAAATCAAAAAGTCATAAGAAACTTAAAACTGGTGTTGGGTTCACTGTAGACATAGAAATAAAACACTGAATTGTTCCAGAGCTCAAGGTATTTTGTATCTAGAAGTCTGGTTCAGTGCCTGGGGAACAACCATACAGGTAATGCTGGTCTGCAGGTATAAGGTCCCCCAAACTCTCTGTCATTCCCATTAGAATTTCAATCAAAGCCCACAGGTGGTTTTGTCCAAATCTATTGCTTGAGAGAATGAAGCTGTTCTGATACGGAAAAACCTTTTCCTTTTGCTTTCTAGAGCAGAATAGGAGTGAAATGGCTCACAGGCCTCCATGTCAAAATGGCAGGAGAGGTAATGACAAACCTGGTCTAAGGGACATGGTGTTTGCTCTTGTTTTGGACCAGTCCAAAGCCAATTAAGAACTCAAAGCTACAGGCTGCTAGGGCTGTGGCATATGTGATTCATCAGCTCTTTCCCAGAAGAGGCTGCTAGATATCTGCTAGAGCAGAACCAGAGGACCTGCACGGACTTCTTGTTACTGGGTTTGCTTCATTCCATGGCAGTTCACTGCCATTCATTCAGAGGGACACCAAAATGTCCTTTATTGTGGGGGCCTTAAAATAGGCTTTAGAAAGCCAAGTAACCTTACGCATGTGGAGCAGAGTAATGGCTAATCGCTTGTAATCTAGCTGCACTATCTGCAACACTGTAAAGTCAGCTCGTGTGAGACCACTGATATTTTATTGACCCTTTCTTATCAGTCTTACTGGTCTTAAAATAGTGAAAAAGGCCATCATTTATTTATTTTTTTTTAGATTACTGTCATGAGGTACCTGAACAAGTCTTCTATGTGTTACAGTGATTTTTGCAAATCTTACCTTTCAGTGTTAATTTTTCAGTCTTCTTCACAAACTCAGGTATTACTCTTTGCACTGGCTACACTCACATCACATTTTAGAGTTTTTTTTTCCCCCCAGTACTACTTACTTTACTTAAAATCAATGTTAAAGTCCTTCTTAAGAAGACAATGGCAATTTCAAGAACAATAATCCATCCAGCTCAAAGAAAGTCCTAACTAGATAATTTTAATATATCAAATTTTAGCATTTAGAGAGAATACAGTGCTTGTTGGTGAGCCTTACCATATAATTCAGGGAGGACCAGATGAACTATGTTCTCACAATCTGAGAGTCCTTCAGTTTGTTAAAATAACTTGAGGCTAAGTGTTTGTGGCAATTAATGTCTGAGGTGTACTAAGCGCAAAGAAGGCCTAAGTCGATTGAGTGCTCCAAGACTGCAATGCTGATCATGCACCATAACAAAGAATATAGTTCATTGTGTTCTCCTCATATTTTGAACAGAAATTACTTAGAAATGAGGGGAAAAATGTTCTATTAAAGAGTACATACTTGATTCATTGCTGTGTAAAAACTGTGGTAACATTTTGACTTTTTATCCTTTAATAAGTATTTTGTGGACCATGCCTGACTTCTGGTAATATTCTTATCAATTCAAAAATCAGGCATTGATCCCTCCGGTGTTTTCACTGATGAATAATACCTAAACTAAACTTTGCATAAAATCAAGCATGCTTGTATTTAAATGAACAAGTTTCATCTCACAGGTTGCCTGCAAAGAAAGACAGTGATGATTTACAGCTGTGATTGTGGTTGGTCATTGAAATCACCTCATGCTGTATCCGTTCTCTGGTTACATAACTGAACCTGGAGAATTCTGAATGACAAGAATGAATATAGAAAAATGAATGTTCTTCTTCATCATTATGGCTGAAGTTTGAATGAACTGATCCTTAATAGGGAGTAAATAAACCTCTACCCAAACAAAAACTGTTCATGCAGATACTGGCAAATAGTGAGCATAGGGGGGTACCTATTTTCTTGACCCAAACAACAGTTCTGACAAATATTCAGACACAATGTTTGAGCAATATTCAACCAGCTCTGTCACACAGTATCTTTTGTGTAACAGAAAAAACTTGTTAACATTTTCCTGTGAGAAACCTGAGTTTGCAAGGATATTATATTTTCATGGCATTATCGCAAATTGACTCCCTTTATCCAAAGCAAATTAAACATTTGTTTCCTGGAGTACAATACTGCAATGAAAGAACAATTCAAATAGCTTAATCAATAACTTTTTAATTTTAGGACTTGTCAACTTACCCTTTCTGTTTCAGTTTTCTTCCTTCTAGCATCAATGATGACTGATTGGAGGGAAACATAAATGGCTGAAACTCTCTGATTTTGCAACCCAGATGGAAAATACAGCGTCATTTGGGAAATCTCTCCTCTGCAGACAAGTATAAAAAAGTTCCAATGTGTTACTGCAACAGGTGAAACAATCTTCTGGCCCACTAATACCTGTCAGGGACATAGCTGCACTGGCCTTTTGTACATCCTGGCACAGAAGCCAGTGCTGGGAAAAAGAGGATCTATAGCACCAACAAGGCCTGATAGCTCCTACTCTGCTGCCTCAAGTTCCTCTGACAAGCCCAGAATGGCTACTATTTTTTTTTTCTGTTTGTTTTGTTTTGCTTTTTTACTAAAATGATTAACTGCTCATGCTGACAGCCACTGCCCCTGGGCAGCACTGACATGAGTCTTGCAATAGGGAGTAATATTTGGTGGAGAGTAGCAGGAGAGAGACACAACAGTTTCTGCCACTTTAGCCAATTTTGTAAGAGGTCATCCTGTATGATCTCAACTGACGTACTCTTTATTGTGAGATGGGAGGCAGGGTGTTTTCATAGATGCTGCTCCTTGTAATACGCGTTTTCATTCTGCAGTGAGGTCTCAGAACAAGAGGGAGCTCGAGCGTGCGCTTACCTAACCCAGTCCCCGGTGTCCGGGCATCACAGCGAATCCGACTGAAGTTCTGATGAGTCTAAAATAAACAAACAAATACATAAATGAAGAGACCCTGTATAATTACTGAAATACAGCATGGTAGTTTTTAACACTTCAGTGACAGGTGATCTACAGGAAAAAATACTTAAGGCTGAATGCTAAAACTAACAGTTTTATTTAACAATGGTATTCTCTCTTAATGAGATAAGAATAACACTTGTACCCAGCAAGGTAGGACTGCAACCAGATCCTGCCCTATACATATGGTTTTCCTGACAGCTGATCAGTTCATTTGAACTCTTCAGGAGTGCAGCCAGGTTGTGGTGCTTTAGCATCTTCTGTTTATTTCTTCCACCAGGCTCTCCCTCCTCCCAGAGCGGTGTCTCGCATGCCCTCCCCATACTGCCTCCTCATTTAATCACGCACCAGAAACCTCCTTCCGCCCTCCCACCGCACTGCACTGACTCCAATTTTCTCATTCACAGAGGAGGCTGTTCCCTCCTCCCTGCTTTAATTATGACTTGGCATTAAAAATAAAATAATAACAACAACAACAAAGGCTCATTCTTCCTGAGACTTAAGTTATTGATGCTCTGGCCCTGGAGAAACATACACACTTTTATTTGAAGTCATTTTCAACATTTTGTTTCCACCAAAAATAGGCGTTTAAGTAAATGAGAGCTGGGAATGCACCTTCTGCGTCTGGCTGGCGGGCTGGCCCCCTTGGAGCCTTGCCGTGGGTGAGTAACTGAGAGACGGCCACTCATGCATGCAGGAGAGAGCCCTAATTAATTGGATTGGAACTGCAGAATGGTCCTTGATGTGGGGAAGGCACATTCCACACTTGTACCCCGTAAAGAATGTGACATTTTTGTGGAAGTGTTGAAGAGTGGGTCCAGGAGCCATCAGATGGATGAGACTTCATTAAATAGGTACAGCAGGGAACCCCTAGTCCTGGGTCTCACACAGACTTTCCCCACTCATCCATTTAATTAACTCTCAATCTGTATCTATGGTTCTAGAACAATTCTATTTAATTTTTATGTTACGTGTAATTTATAGTACAGAATAAATAGTTTGCGAGAGGTGGAGCCATGAATAGTTGGAAACAGGTTTTCCATGTCCAAATCAAGCTGCCACAGAAATCATTTCTCATTTCTGCCAAACTTAAGGGTTTTTTTTTTGCTTCAGTCTTTAAAAATGTTGTTAAAAAATCCCAAATTATCCAGGAAAGTTGATCAGGTTTCAATAAAATAGTGACCTCATTGTTAGCAACTGCTTATTTCAACTTTTTCATGAAATAGCTCCTTTTTACATTATAAGCATTACATACAAAATAAAAATATATGGCTTCAAAATTCTGTTTAATGATACTTATTATAAAAATAAATTAAAAGGCATTTGGGGCCCTCTCTTATTTCCTCATAAAGTGCACTTTGCCTCTATTTAAAATATACTCATTCTGTGAAGAAATCAGTCTCAGAAATGTCACTTGCACTTTGCTACATAGTATAGGAAGGAAGAAATAACCTCTTACAGGTAACTTCATCTATTCCTAACAATAAACCACACTGTTTTGTGGCAGCAAGTATTTTAGAAAACAATTACACATGCAATAATTTAATTTTTTTTCCCTTCAAAAAATGTTTCCCCTGTAAGCTCACTGGTTCTTTTCTTTTGGGTTTCTTTTAAAGATCCCTGAAGCAACTCATCATATGTGACAACCCTTCATTTTGTGCCCCCTTACCCTATTTCAAGGCTAGAATCCATGTTTGTGCTCTTGCATTATGCCATCCATAGTCAACGAGAGCTTTTTAAGGAACTTGCAATCAAGACTGAAGTGCAAACAGCAGGTTCACTGCACCTATCTCCTTAGGGACAGTGGCCTAGGCAATATCTTTTTTTTCCCTCCTGTCATCAAAGACATTTCACTGTGGAGATCTTCAGCGTGTAGATTCTTTTCCTTTGAGGCTATTGAGTTTTATGAAACTGTTCCGCATATTCAGAAAAAGATTTAGAAAATAAAAATATATGTAGTAAGTAGAAAAAGGTTTAAGGTGCAGGCGAATTTTTGGCAGGTTCATCTCTCTCTCCTTTTTCCGTTCAATGCCTTAATTTTTAGCCCAGTGGAACCAGAACATCATTACCCATGAAGATGAGGATCGAGTCTTTATCCCTACAAATGTCACATCACAGCTACTCAAACAGCCTGGTCTGAATATTACTCATGTTATGTATTGCTACCTGGTTTGAAGCCTTGAATGGTTAGCACCCAGAAAAGCCAGATAAAGCTGTAATATGCAGTGACACTAATCGTCTAAAATAAAGAATTGTTAAAAACAAGGAAAAAGGCAAGAATTTCTCTTTTGTCCTTTTTTCCCAGTTGTTTTTAACCTACTATTTTGTCACCCTCTGAAGGTTCAAATGCTGCATCTGAGGAGCAGCTTTGAAAACCTAGCTGTTAGTATAGCTAACCTTGTATATGTAACCCCACCTTATATAGATTATGTAAACATGTTGGTTCTACAAGTTTGAGCTGGAAATCTGCAAGCTGTCTCATGAGACTTTCAGTCATTGGTTGGGTGGAAAAATTTTGCACGTCGAGCCTTTCTTGTGGTAGTCTGGCATTTCATGTTCAGGTCCAGGCAGAACCGGGATGTTGCGAAAATGAAGGAAAAAAAAGAATGACAAAGAATGTCTCTGGAAATCTTTTAAGCACCAAGGCAATACTCAGGTCTGAGGCACTGCAAGTGGGTTGTTCTTTCATTATCTGCCAGACCTTAAAGAAAAAAATCCCCAAAGTTTCCTTGCCTACTTCTTCAATGCCTCATATGAAAAAAAAATCCATATTGTATGTCATATATACATACAGCAGTGAGGCAAACAGTAATTGGTGTTGCCAATGGATACTCACAGATAGCAGGAGCAATACTCTCATCTAATTGATAATAGCCCTAAGTTATTAGTGTATTGCTTTCCAACTGAAGGAACACCATGGATAAAAATGTACTATTACTTATTTTTATTCTAAGGCCATTTTAAATCTAAATTTCATGGTGAAAGCGGCCTGTCTTCTTAAGAATCGGAACAAGCTCCATTCTCGTTTCTTTTTAATAGATGAACGTGAGGGTAAGAAAAAGCATCTAAAGAAACAATGTATATAACAAATTAGAATACAAGTAGATTGATATGCTTTCAAGATGGTGATATAGCAGTCCGTGCTGAGTTTACAGTGCCTGTGGTTTATTGCATGTGCCATAATTACTTCAGCTTAGAGCTGAATTGACTTTGAAAATCCAGAAACAGTTACTGTGACTATAAAAAGTGAGACTTTGATTTTAGTGAATCTGTTCCAAGAGGGAGAAGTTAAATTTAAAAATGAAATTTCAATTTGCATGCTGTTTTCTGGGGCAGATCCAAGAAAAATGGTTCTTTGATTCAGCCAACTATTTTGCTACATTCCTAGGCTTGATGTCAAAATCTCAGATCAGCAACCATGTAGGGAGAAATTTATACGTTACACAGATAAGAAAAGCGTAAGAAGCTTCCACAGAAGAAGGTGAAGGAATTTTCTGTGGAAAAGGCTTATTTATGCAATTAGTAGTTGAGTTAATAAGACCTTATATTAGAACAGTGTTCTAAAGACACACAAGATTGCTAAGTTCATTAGAAGTATAAACGCAGAGCCAGCGAGGGCAGTTACATACGAACAAAAGGTCCCTGTTCAGCCATGGCCAAGGGACTTGCACAAGGACTAGGGCTGCACAAGGAGCGCGGCAGCACGCGCGGAAGAGGGAAGTCCATGTCCTAGCACTCTCTGAACTACACTTTCGACTGCGCTTACCAGAGGAACCCGCCATACTTTGCAGGGCTCAAGTGAACAAGGTTATGCAAACATTTCCAACTTCAAAGGCTTTGGGTCAGAAGAACAAAATAAGAAAAAAAAAACCACTAGATTCACCAAAACAGGTGGTTTTTTTTTTTTTTTTTTTTTTCCCCCGTGGAGGGAGATGATACTATTCTAAATGCAGATTGGCAAAAATACGGTCATCTCCTGCCTTAGACATGCACAAAATAGCACACAAGACCACCTGATTTCTAAGACCTGGACAATTAGGACCCTTCAGTGGTTGACATGCTCCTTCCTTCACAGTCCTGTCAGAAGCACATTATACCATTCCAAGAAGTTCTGTAAGGTGTTATGGATGCCCCTGCCTTTTTTTCTTTTTTTAATGTGATTTGTATTTTCCTGCTTGAGCAGGAAGGTTGGACTAGATGATCTCTAGAGGTCCCTTCCAAGCTTAACCATTCCATGATTCTGTGATTCTGTATTTAACTGATTTTTCATGATCTCATAAAATTTTTGCCTGCAATGCGGGAGAAAATTTATATTATCAGCACTGCAGTTGTGCTTGGTCTGCGGCTAAAGGTCTGATCCTGTTTATTAGCTGGACTGTGTTTCCTGGATGAATAAATAACCTTCTTGATCTACAAACGAACACAGAAAAATACCAATGGTGCAAAATTCTGATTGAACAAGCATTGAGGAGAAGAAGCTATATTCTAGTATATATAAATCCAGTGCTGACTTGGTGGACTGAAGAGCCTTTCTGTTGTATACTGGGACAAGTTCAGGGACATGGATGAAAAGGCTATTTCTGTACACTGTGTTTTGGAGTCCTCAGTGCATCTGAGGATTGGAAGGCTCAGAGAGGTTTGTTCCATATTGAGGGAGTCAGCCATAAAATCGTTTGGCCACGAGCCCCATCTCTTGTGTACTGAGAGGGTTTTGAGCAGCCACAGCGTCCTACACAGACGTAGGAGGAACATCTGCGTTCAGGTAGACCAGTGTTGTTCAGGCAATCAATGTTGTCCTTTTCTCATGGCCAGTTTGGGCCTACACTGTCATTTTAATTGTTAACTGGCTTCAGTTTCAGCAATTCTCCTTGTACAACAGTACAGCTTTCTGTCATCTCTCGAGGCATCTTCATCTCTTGCCTCCTTGAAGGAGGAGCTGCCCAACTCATTTACTCCCTC